GCAAAAGGCGCGGGCGCAACCCTTTTTGCTAAAAATAATATAATGTATTCTCTTTTTTTTACATAATAAAGCTGTGCGTGCATTATGAATTTCAAGTAAAAAAATATATTCTCAGTACAATACATTTAGTTCACCTTTAATTTTCAAATTTGTGTGTACAATTCGGCATCATTATATATAAGAATAATTGTATACATACGATTGTTTTATTGTGGTAATTGTTAGAGACGGCTAATTAATTAACTTATAGGTGTAAAATAAATAACGATATCAAGTTGAACACATAATGTCTAATTGTAGTGTAACATAGTGCTGCAAGATTGCGTAATGAGATGAGGTGGAGAAATGTTTAGAAACGTGATCTCAGGAAACGACGTCCGCGAGCGTGAAGCTTGCTCGCGCTTGCGCGCCGCGGCGCCGCGGCCTTGACCGGCCTGCGCCAAAATTCCAGGTCATTCACCCGCGCCGCCCACAACCTCACCATTCCACTCACTTCAACCTTAAATGACATCCAGTAAAGCACAGTTTTCTTTGCTAGTATCAATATTGTTTATGATATATACAAAACATTTATGTACCGATTGTAGATAGAATTAGAAACTTGTTTATCACCCGTAATGTTGATAGTAGTAGATGTTATGTTCGCCCAACGCTAGGTGTTAGGTAGGTTTTGTTAACTATGTCTGTGGGAAGATGTAAATAAATATTAATTTGTCATTATTTTGTAGAAAGTCTTTCGTACAATCTAATGTATTGGTCGGTGTGTAGAAAACTGAATTGAATGACCGCAAAAAAAAAATCTCTGCTCTATGAATGGTAAACTCAATCACATGTCTCACGAATTGTCACTTTTAGCCGAAAACGCGATATTGGCGAAAGACGATCAGTATTAACCTTAGAGGATTAAAAAAAGTATAAACCGACAACGTACTTTGAAAATTACACGCCATTAAGGATATAGTAATCATAACCCAAAAAGGGCACAATTAATAAGCACAAAGAAGAACTGAAAATATACATATATATTTATACAATATATGTATAAATGACATAACATGGAATTTTATGCTAATTAATTTGACAGTTTTTTATAACTTTTAGCTGCAACAATTGTTCCATATCAAGTAGTGATGTCAGTATTCATTTGTGCAATGAGAGGATAGTATTGTTGAGTGTCCCGGAAGTGTGTGCTAGGAGGGAAGCGGGCCGTTGCGGGCGGGCAGCGGGTCAGTCCGTCACGCGGCGACCTACAGCGCGGGCCATCCATTAGCTCGATTTTGTGTTCAAGTTCACTCGCGTTCCATCACCAAAAATATTTTGGTGGTGTGACGCAACCGGTAACGGCTGCGTCCCACTCGAACACTCGGTCGGCTGCTCAGTCGGTGCCGCTCGCGCGCGACCTTGGCCGCGGTGAGCCGCAAGGTTCGGGTCTTCGAACTCGTCAGGCGCGAGGGGAATGCGGGGCGAGGAGATGCCAATCCGCCAATCGCAAACGCGCGCACGACTGTTCGCGCCCGCTATTGGTTCTTTCGAGTCGCGGCAATGACCTCGGGGACCGGAGTTCGAAGCGCGCCGAGCCTCGTCTCGTAGCGCAGACCGACAGGCTTTACCGGACGATAAAGGCGAAATTTGCTCGGCGGCAAAGCGAGCTCTACGTAGCGATTGTATCGCACAGAGCGCCGATCTTTTTGCAGACTTTCACTCTTAAGGGGAGACCCGCGCTGCGGCGAGCAAGAGTGCGCGCGGGCTCCGTTCAGTTCGTCGATCGAGCTCGAGTGAGTCGCACGCGGCGCGTGCAGAGGCAATAGCGAGACGAGCGACCTTCATCCCTCGCTACGTGCCGGCCGCGCGTCCCGGCCTATACACTCCTGTCCTACATTCAGTGACCGCGCAGGACGTATTAAACAGTGTTGTGAGCCCGCGGGCTCAGATGTGCTTATCGTGCAGTGCAGTGGGAGCAAGGACTAGCAAATAATTTTGCAAACACATGACTTTAGTGATGTCTCCGGACAGTAGCTACGGGCGCTACGATGCGCCTACGCCTGCTGACAACAATATCATGGTCCCGGTGCACAAGGAGCGGGAACCGGAATTACACATAGGTAGAGCACTGTTACTCAATCATTATTTATTTACTTTTATATTTTTGTAAACAAAAACACAAGTGATACTTACATGCAGGAGTGATATTATATGTATAGGTTTAGTAAAAGTAACATTATCCGCAGCGCATATGTAGAGACGTTAATGTTTATTTTCCATTACTGGTTACCTGAGGAAATGCACGCAGACAATAGCCAAAACCCACATTGAAAAAATAGAGCTACATATTTTTCTTGCAGGTAGACGTGTCCACCTGGAATCTAAAGAAGCAAAATATAATCTAAATCATTTCTACGAATATGAACAATTTTTAAAGAGCGTTATTTGTATGAAAATCTGCAAAACGTAATGACTTTTGGTGAAATCATGCACATGAGAAAATTTGTGTTCGGTTATGATATTAAATTTATCAGAGTAAAAATTATACGCTATATTACATACTTCCCAGTTCATTCTAAATTACACCATATTAACTATTTGTTTTTTTATAAAATGCGAAGGGGATAACCCTAATAGATTAACTGAAATGATTAAAAGTAAAGTCATTGCCGAAGCGAATATTGATCGATTGATTCGAAAATTTACGCTCGGAAGGGCTCACGGAAAACAATTAGAAACAGCATTGTGCAATCCTGTACCACACTTGAAGTTTGAAAGCTCTCTTGCAAATCCATGGGGTTCAGTGAACATAACTGCAGGGAGCCAATTTTTATAAATTTGCTTCGATTCCTAATGATCGTATCGATGTTATCCATCACTTTTGATAAATTTTAAAAACCCGACAAAGAGTTGGCCGTTAAAAAACACCCTTCCATTAAACATAGAAAATGTTTTCATTAATGGTCGATTCACGCGAGGCGTGAATTATGTAAGAAAAGTAGTAATATCTCTAATGGTCGTATCGAGCAGGTTTCACACGGAGACAGCTGCCTCACCATACCACTTTTACTTTTCTCTGGCCGCTTATGCCACTAGCTTCGTATCTATCGCTTGGCAAACAAACTATACAACATGGAAAGTACGTCGTTATGTAGCGTGAAAATCTCGCAAGAAATTCATAACAAAATTTGTTATATTGCAAATTTACGGTACGTTTCCAATTAAGTACGAATCATGCACAGAAAATAAGTTCAAGACGTGACAGTAAGAGCATAATGACGGAATTATTTACTAACAAACATTGCCCTGACACAGATCAGTGGTAGAGCAATGGTCAGAGAGTCGCGTCAGCGCTGCACGGTTGGCCGCCTCCTCAGCCGCCGCGGCAGGCCTGTTGCTCACGTTACGTGGACGCAACTTTCTCGCGCACTTTCCTCGCTTTAATTGACGTAACGAACGAGCGACTCTCACACGCGGCGCACAGAAAAACGCGCAAGTTGCATCACACGAGGAGAAATGGCTGCACGCTACTGACTCTGTTGCAACTGCATCAGTTACGTCCCACGACGCTTTCCCTGTTCTATTGTGATCCCCACCGTTATAGCTCCAGCAGCCTATCAACGCACTATCGAATGTAACGTTCGAGATGAGAACAAATTTTACTACGTCGAGGGCCTGCGCCGGAGAAAAAAGAAAGTAACGCCATAGAAAGCGACGGCTGCGTCGAACGTCGACCCGAGGCGAGTGGTGCACGCCAGAAATAGAAAGTTTCTTGCAAAAGGCCCGCGTGTCTGCTCCCTTAACAAATAAAGCAATTGCCTGGAGAGGAAAGTGAGAGTTACCGGCTTGAACAAGTTCCCTGGTCGAGAACAGGGTCCGTTCTCCCGGCAGATCGCCTCGCTACTAATTCAACACCTGTTGTAGGTGCAGGGTCGGGCTCTATCACTGACCTACAAACTGAATTGCTCCTATCATTACCAATTTTAATGTTCTCATCAATAATCGTTGCATCTATTAAGTCATTACTATGTCTCTGACCGATCTTTGCTCGTAATACATAAACTCAGAATTTATTGCTGTCAGCACTCTCTGTTGTCAAACGGCGCTGAAGGGGTCATTGACTTCGCCCAGTGCAGTAGAGACTCGGCACTTTCTAAAATAACTATTCAGTGTCACCTTGACGCTCGCAACATGATGCTGTTACGTCATACGTTTCATTAGTGGGAGCGATTTGTGGTTGGATGAGTCCATATTTTCCTGTAATTTACGTAACCTGCGTTATTTTGGTATGTAGGTAACTCTACATCTTACGATTTTTCAGGTAGATGTATCTCGATAATGTTATTTTATTTACTTACGTACGACACGAACTAATAAAACGGATATTGTAGGTACTTATTTGCTTTTGGAAATAGTACAAACAAAACCTTTACTTACTAATGTGGTAATAAAGTTCACTCTCATATACTTACGGGTCACGTGATTCTCTGGCACGTGGGCTTGATAACACACTCGAACGTGCCCTCCGGTGTTGATATTACGATTTGATGCATTTCATTACCTCCTTTCCTGCGCTTACACCGTTCCGAATGAGTTGCATTCACGGGCAGCAAGCAATATTTATATTAACCAGATAACTGATATTGTACAAGCTGATTTATCGAATACCTACTAACTTCATTATGTTTTTACTCTACATACAGAACAAAACATACGAGGAAGTGACTTCATAATTTAGAAGCGAATACAAATAACAAAGTCTTCGAGACGAATCTGTCAACGGGTGTCGGCACTGGTGTCATCACAAAAACTGTGACTAATAAAAGATCTGTAATTGCAGTTGAACGGTCGGCGCAAACGCAAGGTCGCCGGGTTATCGCAAATCACGTGCGTGTTTGTTTTACCTGCCTCAGGATGTTTGGCACTCGTTTATGTGCCTCGTAATCTTTACAGCATCCATAAAACTTATGTGAACTCGTGCTAAGCTGTTACCATAATCGATGCCTTGTTTGTTGCAGAGTTCGATGGTACTACAGTGCTGTGCCGCGTTTGTGGCGATAAAGCCAGTGGGTTCCATTACGGCGTGCATTCCTGTGAGGGCTGCAAGGTAAATATTTACTTTATCAAATTATATTTTACTGTTTGTGTATACGTTGAATTATTTACTTATGTGTTTAAGTTGTCGTCTATTCCCAGCAAGCTCACCAGCACCAATTGACTACATATGTTACTTGAATTTTGAAACGCATCTAGCACCACCAACATAAAAAAAACTATGACGTTCTTCTTATAAGAGCCTATTACTTTAAACATTCATAATATCTCTACTTGTTTCCGTATTAAGTAGGCTATTAAATTGAGTCACGAGTGCGGGTTGTCTCGGAATGGAGCAGGAAGTGTCCTACGGGTGCCATGTGCCCCTCCCCGCTGCTCTCTCGTCTCAGCAGGTGTCACCACAAGGCCATGAAATACGGAAGACAATCTCTGCGCAATCGACGTACAAAGCCCGGCCAGATGACCTTATTTACTTAACGCCACACTTAATGCAAATCCTATTCAGCCTATTATGCCGTTTGACGTAAAAAAATCGTGTGAACTTGTTATAAACATATCGGTTTGCGGGTCCATGTACCTGCCGTTCTCGACCGGACAGCCCCTATGCCTGACTATTTTTAAAGATACCTGTTCAACAATCACACGGGAACTGGCCGGCTCGCTTCAAAAAGTTTGATGTTAGACGTTTCATTGTACGCACAATACGAGGTCACTTTCAATACGCAAAAGGTTAAACACCGATTAACATTCTCTTACTGTAAACATAAATGAATTTCCCCTATTCATAGTAGTCAAAGAAGTTTCGAATGCAACTTCTGCCATTGAGTTCCCGGGTCATGTCACGGACCAGCCGCATGTGAAGACACTTGGAAACACTTGAGACGCTTTGTGTCCTTAAAAGCTAGACGATACCCGCATATGTATCCATATATATTCGTCGTTTCTTTTCTAGCGAGGAAACGGCACTTAAACCAATTGTGTGCCGAGAAATTCGAAAGTGTAAGCAGTTGAATAGTAAAATAAAAGTATGAAACCAAAAACAGGTCGTCCATCGCGGTCCCAAATAAAAGGAGAAGAGCCAAGGTCGAGCGGTCGGGCTCGCTTTGCCACCAGTGAGCTATTAATTAACACATAAACTAACAAAAGTTTTCAATATATCTCGGTTGATCAAAAGTTATTAATGTGATATTTCTTCAAGACCTTAAATCGTTGAGCTAATCTTAGTAAAATTTAACGAAATTTATATTATTTTTTTTTAAATTTGTCAGTCTTAATGACGAATATATACGTTTAGACCAACTTAGCGAAAGCAAATTACGTGTTCAAGAGTAATATGCTTGTTAATTACTTCCTCATATGCACGCGTCTAATTCATATCTAATTACGACACAACGAACCCATTTCCTTTAAGAAACTTTTATGTAATTTATTCGTAACTTATTTCTGTAGTTGGCCAATAAAAAGATGACAAAACGTCACTTGTGTTATTAAAAAGATATTAAATTAAATTTGCATTAATATGGCTAAAGTCGGAGTCGGTAACCCTGATCGACCCAATAAAGGTCGTATTCATGAGCGTGAAAGCGACCGGGCAAGCAGGAATAGTGCAAGTGTATTTGTAAACTGGTTTACTTGGCGACCGGGTGCCGAGTCTGCAGCGGCAGAGGCAGGGCCGCCGGGACAAAGCACGGCCTTCGCCCCGCGGCCGTCTGGTGCATTGTGCACCGATCGAGACGTTTCCCAGACGATAATGGCAAGCTTGGGACGCGACCCCGACGTCCCAACTGCCCATTTATTTTCGATGGTACTTACATTCTTTGTATTTTTAAATCTCCGTCTAGGCTGATTTCTATTGTGATTTCTCTCTCTTTTTTTTATTTACTTTCGTAGAGATCCGGTTTTGCCTTCCACAAAATGTGCAATCTTATCTATAAAGTATTTCCATGCAATAAGATTTTTAAATTATACAAAAATAGCACAAAACCGGTAAATTGTACTACCTAATGTTGCTTTTCCCAGAGTAAATTTTTTTTTATCTATAAAGTATTTCCATGCAATAAGATTTTTAAATTATACAAAAATAGCACAAAACCGGTAAATTGTACTACCTAATGTTGCTTTTCCCAGAGTTAAAATTTTTTTTAATTGTACTGCATATACCGATTTTGCTATTGTTGGTAGAGTCGACAAGATTGCGAAACTTATAAGAAAACTCGTAGCGCCACCTAGTGATGATAAAAAGCGATTGCTCTACTTACAAGTTCGACTACTCGACGTTAGGTGGCGCCACTGGTATGCGGTGGCGTTGCGATAGTAGAGTCAGGTAGAGTCGAACACACGAAAACCGACAGTGCTGCCGTGTGCTAACGTTGAGCAGTAGAACTACGTAACTCGATGAATGGCGGACGGGCGTATAATTTTACGACACGAGGTGCAACAACGTACGCACGGTGTCAACGAACCCGTACCGTGATTATTTATTATTTACGATAACGTCTGTAATATTATAGCTTTTTAATTTGAATAACCTGCAACCTCTTTGCGGTTTTGAGACCTGCATGTTTTGGTATAGATGATTTCCCTAAACGAGGCTAATAGTTATAATGCCGTCATCAGCGAGGGGTTTATAGGTTGCAAAGTTCTTTGACCGGCCTTTACCAATCACCTTTTCTGGAATATTATGTTCAGTTAGTCGGAATGGTTAGACTTATATTAATAAACGTGTTTGCTGTTATTTTACATTGCGGATTGGCAATTAGGGTCGTAAACAGTAAAATGAGTTATTGTGTTTACGTGGTTATATAAGTACGTACTTTTTACAAAACTTATTAATTCTATATTAATAATAATCGTAGTATTTAAATCAATTTAAATCTGGATACCAGCAAACTGAAATTAATTAAGTCTGAATTAATGTTCAAGCACTTTGATTTTTACATATTAAACAAAGGTTTTAATTAGTGTATAACCTAGTGATATTTATTAACGTGTTGTTGATATTATCCAAATCTTAAATATTTAAATAACATGAGAAGAGAGTAAAGTCTTAAGTATGCAGAGTATTGCCACGGCGACTCGCGTTCTTTGTTCTCCAACCGACATATTTCCCGGTTGTGGGTCGCGTATTTTTTCGGCACCAATCCGTTGCAGGCCGGCCGTTGACCCCGCTTGCTAGCTGCGATCGCCTGGCTTCTCTAGAGCTTCACACGATAAGGGTTGTTCCATATTTATCTGTTTCATCACACGTGCCATTATTTCTATTACATAGCCATCAACGTAAACCTTGCATATATGATGAAAATAGTCTAGACCAAAGTTGTTTACTAAAATGAGTGCATTCACCTTATAAGCTTGGAGCTTTTTTTGAAAACTTGACATTTAAACATATTTAATGAAGCGTAACACTGATTCGAAGAAGATTTTGTAGAGACAAAACGTTAATACATCTATTAAAAATGTGGCATACCTATTGGAAGCAAACACCGACAACCCTAATCACGGCCTCTACGCTCCGTAAACAACTTTTACGGGCAACGAATGTACGCGCAACGTGAACGTAACCCAAATTATTTTTGAACTGTCAGCTTAAAAGTTCATTGATCCCCGAGCGGTCATATTTATTGGGAGCATAGCGCCGTGCCGCAACCGCTCGCGCGCTGTGCTTGCGTTTATGATTTCCTGTTTAGCAGATGTTTACCGAACTTGACTCAGCTCATTGGAAACAATAATAAATAAATTTTATGGGGTTTTAATGTTTGTTGATTTATCGTTATGGAATAATTTGCAAATACCAAAATCGACGCAATCAAAATATGTAACTTTAGTAAACAAAGATCGCATGGATTAACTGAACATACGTGTTTTTTATAACTTCTACACGATTATCAAGCATATAGTCTGCGTTACGAAGTCGTACTGTATGTTATTTGATTTACTGTTATATTGGAATATTGACACATTCCAAGTTACGCGATGTGCATGGCTAAATATGAAACAGTTACAAACAGCTTTCCATAGAAATGTTCCGAATTTGGAAGAAAGCAGTTAAGGTAATGCAATATAATCGAAGCCGATACTTAAAATTACCTATCAGTGAGGTGCTAAACTTAAAATGGCTGTAAATACGTGATCTGAGATTTGAATTAGTTAAAGCGCTGAGTCAGCGATGTTGTCGGATAAACATCTACCGCATATAGAGACTGTTGTATTCTGTTATACACCTCGGGTCCGGGGAAGCGATGCGCCGTTGATGCGTCAGCATGTTTTCGGCTAAGCTGGTGTTAGTGAAGTCGTTGTCCGCGAACCGTTATCCGTCCGGTGTATAGCGCCCGTCACCGCTGCGGTGCCTTCCGCCCGCCGTTGGTGTGACAATTGCCTTGCAAGAGCTTGCAAGCTTTTCGCGTGTCACAATTGCAACATTTACGCTCAACCGCACGTTCCTGTGTGCCAATGCCTGTATTAATTTTATTACAATAGAGAAACCTTAGGTTGGAAGTTAAATTCTCCTTTATCAAATTTATAAAATACTTGAATTTATTGTAACATTCAGTTATACCGATTATGTGTCGTTGTTTCTGTTGATTATTGCTGACATTGTAAGCGCAAGTTATTTACAATGGGGGGCACAGTTAACAATAATGACTCTTAAAGTATGTCAATGTAGCGTTAACGATAAAAAGTACAGGCGATCGCTTATCGCAACGGGCAGCGGCCTGTGGGCAACGGAGCTCTGTCGAAAAAGCTAGATGGATGGTGAGCGCGACCCACATCGCTGTGACGAAACCCTCGTCGCTCTACACAGATTTCTTTATGCCCCACTTAATTGCCATTTGCCTCTACATGAGTTCTCTTCTAAACGTTTTGATGTGTGTAATGCAATTAGCGAGAGAATCGTTTCATGGATCATGGAAAGACGCTTCTTAATGAGAACAAGATGCAATTATGGAAAAGGATTTGTCAAATGCAAATAAATTGAGGAAACAACACTGTGTACAAAAACAACGAATGATTCACAACTTGTACCTTTCTTTATCTTTGTCATCTCTTTTCCAAGTACGAGTTACTAGACCTACTGAAATTGCTTACGCCACCAGATTACGTGCCGGTACTATTATTACTTGAACTCAATATTTGTAGCCTACGCATATAAGTTAAGGCGGTACATAATTTGACTCATCACTTTATCAAAGTATTTCAAAATTTAAGTGGGCTACACACAGTCAGCCCAATGGAATTGTTATCGTCGGTTTTAAATAGGATAAACAGTTTTTAGAACTCGAAATGAAGTTACCGTGTTAATTATTTCCTCAGCGGTCAGTGACCCGACGAGATTACATATTTCATTGACAAATCTGATATACCACAGGACAATTTTTAGATTTTTTCTAAACTTTAAAGCAGTAAACATATTAAACACTGGTGATTTAAAGTAATGATATATTAATTCGAATTGTAAAATACCGATAACTCAAAGTTATTCTTGTAATTAGATTATGAATAAGTTCCTGGAAATGGTTCCCTTTATCATCAATCTCACAACGTGCATAGAAGCTCACGTTATTTCGCCAGATACTTATCGTATTCATATACGACGTGAGGTGCAGAAGTGAAGCGGGGGCGGACGGGAAGGTTTTTGTTTTCGCGGCAGCGGGTCGACGACCGCGCAGCCGGTCACTGCCCGCGCTCAGACCAATTATGGGCCACTCGTACAGCGCACAATGGATCGATGGCAACGCAAAATTGGGCCACCGACACGAGTCCCGCTCTCCGCGCTTCGCGGGCCCTGCGCACCCGGCCGCGCAGCCTCCGTACTAGCTCCAAGCATAATGCAGTACCGACAACCCACCCTATGTTCTCATTAAAAATTACAGTCTCCATTTTCTTTTGTTCGGCAAATTACCCAGGTTTCGCCAAGTATATGATACATCTGTAATTTAAGAAATAATACAATAATAAATTTGTAAACAAATTTAAAATAAATTGATGTACTAGTACATTTATACTGATCTTTGTTTGTTTCCAATTTAGATTAGACTAGATTGTTATCAAACAAAGAATACATTATGCCCAAGATGTGTTTGCTTGAGCTAAATTATTTTTGATTACGTAAAACTCTCATTATAATTAGCTAGAACTAGGATAGTTTCATTACATCCCCTAGTGGTGAGCGCGCGCACATTGAGGTAGGCCGTGATGCGAGCTGACGTCAGCGAACGTATAGGCGGTCGTTGGCCGCTGGGCTAGCTCCCAGGGCGGCGGGGTAACAGGGGTGCGGTGGGGAACAGGTCGCGGTTGTGCAATCCCGCGGTCGTTGACCTGGGTTGAACGACCGCGCACCGCGACGCCCGCCGGGATGCGCCCGGCCTATATCCGGCGCACCGGTGCAGCAGCAGCGGCGCATTCTAGAGCGGCGAGGACCGTTAGGAGCACGAGTGAGGGCGGCACGAGGCACGAGGGGGGGCACTCTCACTTTCTCGATTGGGTCGGCGGCCGGCAAGTAGGTCGCGCTCGCGCGGGTAACTGTGCGCCGCGACTCGTAGCGCCCGCACCGCACAGTTCGCTGCGAGCCGTCATCTGCGTCGGTGTAGTGCGAGTAACCTCTTGTATTAGCAACTGCAACAGTCACTGAGTCAGTCCGGTAATCGCCGGCGAAGCGCGTGGTGGTGCTAGTGCTGTGCGTTCTAGTGAATGGTGTTAACGATGTCGTGTGGCGCTGAGCTGCGCGAACGGCATTCGGTGCTGGTGAGCATGCTGGAGGCGCGCCGTGAGTCCTCCGACTCGGGCTGCTCCAGTGACGACAATTCCGACGTCGAGCGAGACTCTAACTGCCGCTGTGATCCCCAGGGGTTCTTCCGCCGCTCTATACAGCAGAAGATCCAGTACAGGCCCTGCACCAAAAACCAGCAGTGCTCCATCCTCCGCATCAACAGAAATCGGTGCCAGTATTGTCGATTGAAAAAATGCATCGCTGTGGGCATGAGCAGAGATGGTAAGTTTAATTCAATTAATTCTCTTAATATTTTTATTATCAAGGAAATAAATGAACAGCCTGATGATAATCTCATTGGATAATTAAATCAATACATCCATCACATTGGAATGTTAACAAATATAGATAGCTGGTAGTTCATTTATTTCATTTACTGCATTTATTATTTATTAGACATTACATTACACATGAAATTATTAAAAAATGTTTTTATAAGTAATTAATGAACTAAAAACTAAGCTGTTCATACAGTTATGACATACTTTAAAAACTAGATACATGGTACAATTTGTTATGAAAAATTTAGGTCAATTTAAATTTAAATCCTCGCCAAAATTATGCAATAGCTGTAATGTGCTAATTGGTAGCAACATCTTGACGCACGCGCATGCATGTGTGTGGTAGTGGGTGCGTGCTGCATGTCGTGATGTGCATACGCAATTAGCACGGGAAGGTCGTCTGTGCGGTCTGCGCTGCGCCAAGTGGGCCGCGCATGCTGGTTTGCGTACAGATCCTATTTCGCGGGTGCGCGAGACGCAGCGCCTGAGGAGCGGGGAGTAAGATGGGGGGATCTCAATCCGCGGTGGGGGAGAGTTATGCAAGCGCGGGTGAGCGCACGCTAAGCGGGTCGACGCCCGCGTCGCGCCGTGTTGCGACACTCGCACCCGCTAAAGCGCGTACGCGGTGAAAGCGGAGAAAGGCGCATTTCGTAAGCGCGAGAGTGAAATTTGTATTTTCACTTTCGTAATGCAGTTCGTTGAACCCCTACAATTTCTCTATGCACAGTCGCGTCAGGTAATAGGTTAACTTTGTAAAAGTTCTCTATTCTTGCAAATTGTACTATTAATTGTTTTTCCATTTGACGTTTAATACGATATTACTAAAACGAAGATTACTAGAAGACTAATTTAAAGCTAAAAAAATAAACTTTTTATTTTGTTATTAATTAATAAAACTGATATGATTAAGTATATCTTCCCATTTTTACAGCTGAAATTCTTGTAATAATTAAATAAAACACGAATAAACTAATTTAACATTTTTAGTACCGCCACTCGACAACAGATAGCGCTCTAATGGCGGAACACTAGCGCCACAGGGTCGAGCGGTGTCGCGGTGAACTAATAAAGGTTCTCATCCTTAGCACCATAAGCCACTCGTGTATGTTTTCAACTCATGAATTCATACACACGTAATTAACTTAAATATGAATAGCCTACGTAAACATTACGTAAGGAACGTTTTATGCCATGCGTTAAATAGGTATACAAAATGTATTTGGTAGCATCAGAATGTAAAAGAATAATAAAGAGCCTAAATTTCATATCATTGCACAAACATTGTAATGAGTTTAATTATTATTTTAATTAATAAAATAATAATTGAACTCATTACGTAAGTAAATTTGTGTCTCCTGTGGTCAAAGACATATTTATTTACTTAACCTATTTCAGTGCTGACAATAGGATAGATACCTCACGTAATTACTTCACAAAAAATAAAATTAAATATCGAAGTAACTACGTACCAAAAATAACAATAAGAATAGAGAGTTGTATCGAGAGCACGGAGATAGCCGCGAAATTCGCAAGTCCCTTCATATCAACAAGGTTCAAGTGGCGTGTAGAGCATTGTAGAGCGAGCGGAGAGTGGTAGAGGAGAAGAGGGGACAGTTCGCACGGGCGGGGGCAGGGGCCTGCGCGGAGTTTATTGACGGCGCCCCCCTCCCGGCCCGCGTCAAGTTCAAGGTTGGCGCGGCGCGCGCCGCGGCGCAGTGCGAGGGAGTCCGGCCCGCGCACCGGTCGTCAGCCCTCGTCGTCGCTATGCCAGTTGGCCATTACACACTCCGCTACGAGACCGCGAGCGATATCGCCGCTCACACTCGCTGCTACGGTACATACCGCTAACTACGCATCTCTGCTGCCACATTGGATTGCATTGGGATTACAGTGTCTTGTGCGATTAATAATAATTCTTCGTGTGCTATGTGACAATTGAAACTAGTGATTAAAAAACTTATTAGTCAAAAACGTACTTGAAGTTACCAGTTAATAGTTATCTGTAGCCTATTGGCTGTGAATTAGTTTAGTGAAAAACTGTAATGGTCTCAGATATGGGAGAAGATTTACCGATCCTTAAAGGCATCCTCAACGGTGTCGTCAAATATCACAATGCTCGTATGTATTAAATTACTTTATTTTTATTTATTGTACTTTATTGAAAATTATTGATATATTTATACATTACAATGAAATAAATAAACAATAGTAAATAAAACATAAATGGAATAAAATGTTTTTAAACTATTTCGTAGCAACTGCTACGCCGCTCTACGACCGCTGGTAATAATAATAATAGTAGTAAAAATAATGGACTCCAAAAAACATTGTCGTATTTTCGGTACATATTCAAAATATTTTACAAAGATTGGGTCCGGTTGTTTAAAGATCGAAACATTTTATAGTGAAACTTATTACAAACGTTGTATTTCTATTATTATAATCGAAATTCAAAATGTTTTTGTTGAATTATTAAACATAAAATAATAACAACTATTATTCTGTGTAGTACACAAAAACGATTATCAATCAGTTGTAGGTATATAAGTATATCATAACAAATTAGAACCTAGTTTGTATAGACTTGTTATTCCAAAGATCGTCTTTTGAATTACAAAGAATAATGCGGTTGATTCTTTACATGATTCGGTACGAAATAATACAAATTTAATAGTCACATAAAAGCAGTAGAGATTGGACAGTGGCGAACAATGGAATCGTGTGCCTGGTTCGGCCCACATCGCTCAGCGAAAGTCAGGAGAAATGGCAAGAGGGCGCTCCCGCTTTCGTTTTCAACCGTGAGCCGCGCGAACACTTTCACCAGCGCGCGCGCACGAACGGCGCAAGTGACGTACCCGCCCCGCCGCTTATGGCCTTTCGATTCTGGCGTTGTTTAGCGCGAGAAAGTTGTAACACTTTTTAACCTGACCTCGCAGTTCGAGCGTTGTCACTCGTCATTCAAACTAGTTCACTGAATCGCAGCGTATTCTATGGACTCGCTAACCGTGTAGGATCCTTCAACAAGGGTTGGAGCTGCGATGGGCGATGAACTCTACCCTCTCGGCGTCAGCTGCACGTGCACATGGCCCGCTTCGTACCCGCACACATGCGAACCCCGCGACAGCTGCATCGCGACGTATATTTAGCCGTGACCTTGCACAACATTCCCGTTGTTAGTTGCTATTGCGAGCCATACGATTTATTTTTAAAGACTTATAAGGTTGGAGAACATTGAACATGTTTAAAATTTTGTTTCCTTTGTTGCAGCCGTGCGATTCGGGCGCGTGCCAAAGCGCGAAAAAGCGCGCATACTTGCTGCGATGCAGCAGTCATCGTCATCTCGTGCACAAGAGCAAGCAGCGGCCGTGGAGCTGGATGATGCACCACGGCTACTGGCACGGGTGGTGCGAGCACACCTCGACACCTGCGAGTTCACCCGCGACCGCGTCGCAGCCATGCGCGCGCGCGCCCGTGACTGTCCCACCTATTCACAACCCACTCTGGTAAGCATCGCACACATTTATCATTGTAACCTATACGCACTATAATAATATCTTTGCAATCAATTCGATAAAAACGTTTAAACGTTGTCATCGCAAGCTAACGATGTTTCCTTATGTTTTAGGCTTGCCCCTTAAATCCGGCGCCAGAGCTACAATCTGAGAAGGAGTTTTCTCAGCGATTCGCGCACGTGATTCGCGGCGTGATCGACTTCGCCGGTCTCATTCCCGGCTTCCAGTTGCTGTCGCAAGACGACAAGTTCACGCTGCTCAAGAGTGGTCTCTTCGACGCACTATTCGTGCGTCTTATCTGCATGTTCGATGCGCCGCTCAATAGCATAATCTGCCTTAATGGACAGCTCATGAAACGTGATTCAATTCAAAGCGGTGCCAATGCGCGGTTTCTTGTGGACTCAACGTTTAAGTTTGCGGAACGTATGAACTCTATGAATTTAACGGACGCGGAAATAGGTCTTTTCTGCGCCATAGTACTCATCACTCCCGACCGCCCAGGTCTACGTAATATCGAATTAGTGGAGAGAATGCACGCTCGCCTCAAGTCGTGCCTACAGACTGTCGTCGCTCAGAATAGACCAGACCGACCTGGTTTCCTCAGGGAGCTGATGGACACACTACCTGATTTAAGAACGCTTAGCACGCTGCATACTGAAAAGCTGGTCGTATTCCGCACCGAACATAAAGAGCTCCTACGACAACAGATGTGGGGCGACGAGGAGGGTAGCTTATATGCTGACTCTGGTGCTGATGAATCCGCTCGTAGTCCAATTGGATCAGTATCCAGCAGTGAGTCTGGCGAAGCAACTGGTGATTGTGGAACTCCCTTACTGGCAGCAACACTGGCTGGCCGTTGTCGTCTCGACTCACGAGGCTCCGTCGATGAGGAAGCTCTCGGCGTGGCACACTTAGCTCATAACGGTCTCACAGTAACTCCAGTGCGTCCGCCGCCAAGATATCGCAAGCTGGACTCACCGACGGACTCTGGCATCGAATCAGGCAATGAAAAGCACGAAAGGATAATTGGGCCTGGATCTGGCTGTTCGAGCCCTCGATCCTCACTCGAAGAACCTTCTGAGGACCGACGGGCGCCCGCCCCCGCTGATGATATGCCAGTGCTGAAACGCGTCCTGCAAGCTCCGCCCCTGTACGATGCTTCTTCATTGATGGACGAGGCTTACAAACCGCACAAAAAATTTCGAGCCATGCGTCGCGATACAGGAGAAGCTGAGGCCCGGCCTGTGCGACCTACTACTTCGCCGCAGCCTCCACACCACCCGCACCCTGCTAGCCCCGCACATCCGGCTCACTCGCCGCGCCCGATGCGTGCGTCACTCTCATCCACGCACTCTGTGCTCGCCAAGAGCCTTATGGAGGGCCCACGCATGACGCCCGAGCAACTGAAGCGTACAGATATCATCCAGCAATACATGCGACGCGGCGAGGCCGGAGCGGCGGAAGGCTGTCCGCTGCGAGCAGGAGCAGCAGCTAGCGCGCTGCTGACATGCTACCGAGGTGCGTCACCAGCGCCGCCCATGCTCTCGCTGCAGGTGGATGTTGCTGAAGCTGAAGCGCAGCAGCCGCTCAACCTGTCCAAGAAGTCGCCGTCGCCACCGCGCTCTTCCTACATGCCGCCAATGTTAGAGGCGTGAGGCCGGCCCGCGGAGCCACACGTCTCCGCCACCCCACCCCGACCCACACTAAAATAAAAAATGTAGTAGATAATCGTTCGCAGATCGTTTTAATATATTATATGTGATAAATTCGTTTAGGACGCGTGAGTGAGTGGCCGGTGCAGGACGAGGAGAGCGCAATAGACTGAAAATAATTTAAGACTATATAAGTATAATTTATATGCAATGCAGCGCCGGTCGCGGTGTGTTTGTGTGTGTATTGTATGTGCGTATGTGAGCGTGCTCAGTCATTTGTTTGTTAATATAATGACAGGTTGTCGAATTAAAATAAACTTGTAAAAATTATTGCCAAATTGTATTTCTCAATTCCTTAAATCCCAAATTAGTGTAAGATATAATATATGCCTAAGCATCAGCAAAACTGCAACCACAACTTTTATGAACTAATAACTAAATACATATAGAAAAAACACAAAATACGAAACAAAATTAAAATTTATAAGTTATTGCTATACGACACTTGAGTTTAAAAGAAAAATAAAGAATTTCACATTTATAACGTTACATAACACATTATTAAAAACGCAAAGATACTTAAATAATAATAAGTAGTAGAGTCACGAACAAGCAGGCACCTCGCTCACAAAAAGCGGTAAATTAGCAGAGATGACAAAAAGCCTGCGGCCGATGTGAAGGGCGTGCGGTCGACGACCGGGCGCGGGACTACTGACGACCGCAGGCCAATCGAGCGACCGCATGGCGCCTGCGCTTCCGCCGTGCGACCACTACCGTTTCCACGACTGACCCCACGAGGTTCCGCGTTTACAAGGCAACACTATCCGCCTATTGATACTACCGGCTTAAGACGCTTCAATGTTAACTGTGAAGGGAATTTGGACAATGGTATTTATGGTAATGGTAAAAGTCTCTAGGACGCATTGTGGTAAGTATTAAAGAAAGACAAATACAGTAATACATATTTTTCAATATGCAAAAGTCAACTAGAAAGTACATATAATTTTGCAAGGAGGTACAAAGTATGAACCCACTCAAGGACTTATAAACTTTTAGAACGCAAAAAGCATAGCAAGTACGTGCCACAATATCTTATACACGTGGCATAAATGAAATCACTTTACATCAACATTTTTTAATCCCTTTATTCCGAATAATATTTCCGGAATTAATTTATTATAATTTTAATACTTGACTCTATATAATTATAAAACGTGGTTGGATAATTTTCAGGTTAGTTTTCTCTACATAATTTCGGTGGCAATTTTTATTGTTTAAGTGTTCCAGTAATTATCGTGAAATTTTAAATAATATTTCAGGATACTACACTCGAATATTAAGTGATAGAATATTTAAATGATAAAAATTGCCACCGAAATTAGATAGAGAAAACTAACCCGAAAATTACCCAGTTGCGCCTTTATTATATCCCAGTAGGGCTACCACGATAAGGCGTGACTTGAGCGAGAGCGATATAAAGTGCGATATACTCTATGCGAGAATAGCAGTATATCGCACTTTATGTCGCTCTTGTGCTAGGCGCACCTTATCGTGCTAGCCCTACTGGTAACTGTACATGAATACCTATTAAAAATATATAAAATGTTTTTCATATTACCAAAATACATACACAACCGATTAAGTACACATTTACTTTATGGAAATTGCCCACTGAATGACAATTTTGTAAACAAATATGTGTAGGGAGATAACAAACGTAGTAATAAGCTCGATAACGCCAACCATCTAGGAAGTAAATGGGCTTACCGAGTGAGACTCGTATTCTATTAGGCATTTTGGTGAATACAGAATGTATATTATTGTTCTTAAAAAATTGGAAATGAGTTATTATGCATTACCATTGTGGCTGTTTATTGGACTCCTGTACTTTAATCTGTTAAATAAAATTTCATAAACTATATGTTAGAGGCACTCTGTTTATTTTTTGTTTGTTCTGAATCAAAATGCAATTGTCTATTGTACTCGCCACTGAACTGAAAAAAATCATTAAAATTACTATAGTGAATATTATAGTACTGTACACAGTACTATAAAGAGTTTCAAAAAAAGAACGTCGTGTTTTTGCTAATTAAAATATCAATCAGGACGCTACTCAAACGCTATACTGTATCCCAGATTGGTTAAATTGGCCTAAAAGTCTTGCAACCTAGTCATAAATCTTTATAAAAAAATTGATTGGTTACATTAATTATGTTACTTGGCCAGTTCTATTCTATAGCCTCGGTTTTTTGTTATGTAGCGTTTATTCACCTTTCGTCTAAATATATGAAGAGGCTATATGATGGAACCTTTACCTACCCTAATAAATAGGTTAAAATAATAAAAAATTGCGTTTCTTGTCATGGATTGCTAATAAAAGATACATTAAATATTGGTTCTGTTTCATTATTTATTTACTCGTAGAAAAAGTATTATATGCAATCAATACATAATTAGGTCTTAAAATCTCGTACCTATTACTTAGACCACTTGGCAAAATCTCTAAGGACCCTCGTTATGCAACGATTGCATAAAATACTATTATCCTTTAGTGCGACAATTTCAACTATAATTCCGCAAAGCAATTGATGGATGTCTTTGTTCAGTAGTAATATTAATAATATAGGCACGTTTCATTCGCCGGCTTATGAACCTGAGCTCCTGACCCCGGCCGATTGTGCCGTTATCGGGGAATACCGCCTCACTCATTAAAAATAATCAAAATTTACCTTTAGATAATGGGAAAGGTACTAATATAAAATTTTAGACATTTAAAACAATAAATAGATTAAATTACTAAGTAAGAATAGAAAATCGTTCTTGCTTATGTAAGTATGCACAAATAAAGAACATCGACATTTGCAGGTGCAACCGCTACTCTTGGACGTGCATACTAAATCAAATTTGCATTGTAATCACTGACGTAAACGTGCAGTGTCATAAATGCAACGTTTGTGACGCAATACCACCACGTAACACCTATTATTTTTATCGTTTTTGGTTCGTACATAATCAATTTAGAGTGATTGATTGTTAATACTAAGTATATGATGAATTGATGTAGGTGATCGATACAGTTACTAGGATAAAAAAGGGAATGCTTCGATGATTTTGGTCTCATATAAAGGACATTCGTTCGAGCAGTTCGACCAACTTGGGACATGGGCTTTCCTGTATTGGTTCTGGTCTGAGTGAGTGACTTCCTGGTACTTCTTATCGTATCAGTGGCATACACATGTTTGCCATCGTGGTGAAAATAGTTGCCAATCAGCGTAACGTGCTCGCCGATTGTTGCCCTGGGTGCACCATTAGACGTACAGAAAAGGAATGGTGCTCCTTCCATGCACCCCAAATTTCCTGGTACTTTTTCTTGTTCCCTAAGAGAATTTCCTTTTGAAACCAGGTAATTATTAGTGTGTGTGTCTGGCACCTTTATATGTATTTAACTCGGTACAATAAATAGAAGAACAGATTTCTGCATTTTGTTGTGCAAAAAAAAAGTAGTCAGCCTATGTTATAGTCCCACTACCGGGCGTAGGCTTCCCACATACCGTTAAATTGCTTTGCAGAAGTGTGCATTGGTTTTTTTCACCGAAAAGCTAAATTTCAAATTACATTTCGCACATTAATTCCGAAAAACTCAAAGGGCCAGGCTTGGGGGTCTACCCTCGATCGCCGTCCGACATCTGTCCGAAACAATTACTGCCAAATAAGCAATACTTGACCTAATAAAAAGACGCGTGATGCGAATGAAGCTTCATACTTGATACTTGTTTTTTAATTTTGTCGAATATTACTTAATTGACAGTAATTGTTTCGAACGGATGTCGGACGGAGATCGAGAGTAGACCCCTTGCACCGGGCTCGATTTGCACTAAAAAAAGGTTTAAAATTTTTTTTTTTTCTAAATATGATTTACATACGTTTTTTGTTTTTATACAAACTTTTACAAGATTTTGACGAAGTTTATTGTAACGAATATTTAGTAAAAATCAAAGCCAATTAGGTTCTCTGAATATTATTTAGTTACTTGTTACAAAGCAAACAAAACAATTAGACAGAAAAAGGAACAAGACAATGACATGATACGTAAGACAATTCTATTGGGGTATTGACCGAGTATCACGGTGTGCTGGGCGCATGTCGGTGGGCGTCGCAGCTGCGCGATGCTCGGCCATGCACTTGACTCCCGGCTCCCGGTGCATCGGCCCGTGCCCCGATACGCGCACCGACCCCACCTCCCTCTCAGAAAACAGGGAGCCCCCGCAGCCTCCCTACCCTACTACTACCCACAACATGCTTCCACAGGCGCCATTTTGCTTCAATATAGGGAATTGCAATGAACTTCGTTAATTCAGGTTCACGTTTAGACTAGCAAAATTGCGATATTTTCTTACAATTTCTAAAACTTTTTTGCTATTGAGTTAACTGTGCAGAATTTTCAATGAAATTATTTTTTAATGATAGCATTTTTGCTACGATCTCTTTCTATTTGCCGCAAACCGAACTCGAACGATTTATATAGCAGAATTCAGTTTATTATTACGAGTAACTTTCCAAAGCAATCTATTTGAAGGGTAATTGAGAGTTGCAATTACTAATCAGAAGAATCTTGTTTGGTAAATTATATTATATAAGGCAAAGGTCACCTCAAATGTCACAACTGATGACCGAATGACCTTTTCCCCCACCCACCTTTACAACGTACATAAACTAGTTACTTTTAGGATCAACGCTTTGTGCCACCCTCTACACAAAAAACAAATCATAGCTATGCGAAAGACATATACCACATTACTTTATAACAATGAGATGAGTTTTTAATGTAATTTATATGACACTTCCAGTGGCTTACGTACCGGTTTTTTAACGATGTCGCCATCTGTGACTTCCTGGATTCGATTCCCGGGTAACTTTTCTATATTATCTCGGATCTGGGTGTTTATGGTAACGGTACCATAAACATCCAGGCAAGGACGGCGTTGTTTCCGATTTTCGAAACACAAGTGCTTTAGTTACATAATTTGGGAGCTGAGAAAAGTATGTGATGTTGTCTAATATTTTTGAAAGTTAATTTAAACCATATTATATATAATCTATGCCATTTTAAATAATTTCAATTTTATACTCTTCTTTGTTTTGTCAAACGAAAACAGGTACAATTAAAAAATATCAAACGGGGCACATAAGGTCACATTTTTTTATATAAACATATGTTCTCGAATATATATACCCTATCGGTCAGTCGTTAAAAGTGACATTAGCGTACAGAGAATCAGGGAAGTTTTTGCACTCGTCTGTAACAAAACCCTAAAAATTATGATTCTTTATT